TAAAAACTACCTACGTGATCAAACTGACAACAGTAACTCGAAAGAGTAGATAGGAAACTTAGGGGGCAGTGTGTTTATGTTAATGAGGCAGGAATAATTCAGAAAAGGCAGGTGAGAATGGTTACACAACTTGAAAAATGTAATCAATGTCATCAAATTGTTACTTGTAGAAACTGATGAATTAGCATATGTTTTGCTGTGTATAGTCTCAACCAAAAAAAAAAGAAAAAGAAATCCCAGTTGCCGTTGAGTTGATTCAGACTCATAAAGACCCTGTAAGAGTAAAATTGCCCCGTAGGGTTTACAAGGAGTGGCTAGGGGATTTGAACTTCCAACCTTTTGCTTAGCAGTTGAACTTGTAACCACTGGGCCACTAGGGCTCCATATTCTCAACAATAACTATAAAATAAATAAAATTGGAAGAAAAAAATCTGAATACACTAAATGCAGTTACACTAATTATATTTTAATCCAAGAAGTAATGAGGTAGAGGCAATGGGGAAAAAGAAGGAAGGAAGGAAGGAAGAAAGGAAAGTCTCCACTCTAATTGCTCCCTCTGTTCTGCAGACTTTTCAGTCAGGGCCCCTAGGGGAGAAAGTCCCAAAGGAACAGTAAAGAGACTTTATTCTCTCTTGAGGAGTCGATTGCTGTTCCTTCACTCAGGAGCCAGAGGCTATGCCAGGTCCACGTTTTTCAGGCCTGAGTGACTGAGTCTAGCAAAGATCAGCTATTCTGGCCTCAGAGATTGGTCTTCTTGTTCCACAGCGTCTAAAGGCCAAGTAGACAGTGATGGGGTGGATGCAGCATCTGGTTCTCAGCCTGTGTCAGCCATATTTCCAGAGTGTAAGCACATTTTCTCTAGAGCACTTTCTCCTCTTCTTCCCCTAATGTTTGGACAGGGTGTATGCACTAGAGGAGAATGGGAAGAATGTGAGAATTAGATCTATTTGATTTGGACTGATACTGTCTTAGTTGACTCCATGATGTTTTCTTAAGATATTCCCTGGTTAATGAAGCCTAATATCAAAAACCTTAATGATCATTGCATATGTTCAGAAACATTGCAAACATAATTGCTATTGAGAGACTAAATTTTGTATTGAAAAAGTATGGTTGTTTTTAATATTGATACTTGTCTGTTGCTTTTTTTCTACAGTGAATATTATTTTTCCATTTTGTTTTATTATATGCCCACTACAGAAATCTCCATTGCCAGTTGTTCCCGTTGGTAAGGAAGAAAAACAGGTTTGCAGATTATTTGAGTCAATAGGTTATCTGAGACTCTATGAAGGTATTCACCACAGTGAGGTCATTCTTTGATATTCCAGGACTAACTGGCCATGAAGATGAGGAATCACACTCCAGTAAATGAGTTCCTCCTGATAGGAATCCCTCATACAGAAGGGCTGGAAAATGTTCTCTTTGTCTTATTCATGGGCTTCTACCTTCTCACTCTGCTGGGGAACCTACTCATTCTTCTGGCTATCCT